GAGAGGGCGGCGCTGGATGTGGTCGCCTCGTAGTGGCCGTGGCAGCCCCTAAGCCACGAACCTCCCCGGGGGCTCCTCCTGGGCACGGGCTGCTCGCCTCCCACCAGCCCCTGTGAGTGCTCCCGCCTTGGCGGTGCCAAGAGGGAGCAGAGGGGACCAGAGCCCCTTGTTCTGCCTCACACCCCTCATGTGTGACCCATATTGGCTTCTGGCCCTGCTGAGGCTGGGGGCAAAGGTGCTGACACCACAGTCCTTATTCCACAGCATGGAGGCAGGAGCATTTCCTACCTTGTAACAAGGCATTCCCAAATAACATGGCATTCCCAAACTGTGCCAAACCTGTTGGGCAGAGTTCGACCCGACACTGGCTCACACATCAGATCCATCCCAACCACCCCTTGGGTGCTGCAGAGTTCAGGCACTGGTTTATACCCTCAGGCAGCTGAAGCTTTCACGTGTCAGCCTTTCCAGGGAGACACATACAAGAGTGCATGTGCAGTAGACGTTTTTTAAGAAAAACTGACACAAACCTGACAGATTCAAAGTAATTTTAGATAAATCCCAGCAGGAATGAGGAGAGCCTTTTATTAATGAGGGTCAGACAGACTTTTCAGCTGCATGTGAGCACAGCAATGTGTTTTGGTGCTGGCTCCTAATAAGGCAAAACAAATACACTCTGAGATAAATGAGGGCTCTGAAGGCTCCTCACTGGATTAATAATCTCAGGAATAATCACACAATGATTCCTGCATTGTGTGTTGTCATAAACTAGAAAAAAAGCAAAAGAAACCACAAACTGAATTGCAAGACATTCTCGTTTTACAGAACACTGATCTTCCAATCGCTGCTGCTCTAAAATAACAAATATAGATAGGGAATGCTTTTAAGTGGTTTTAAAACTTGCAATTTGCCTGCTAACCTTCCCTAATAATTTTACAAATTTGGGCAACATCATAATTCATGTTCTAAACCAGGATAACAGTTGTGAGGAAAACAAACAACAATTAACCAACTACAACAACAAAAGAAAACAAAATAAAACAGCTTTCTGAACTAACTGTTTTAAATCTGGTTTGGAAGTCCAAGTGTCACAATTCTCTTTCTAAAAAAAAAAAGAAAAAAATAATCTGGTAAGCAGTTCAAATAAACATACCTACACCACTAGATAATTAATCAAACTAATTTTAAAGGCAGAGGAAAACACAGCTTAAATTTCTTGTATATCACCTTTCACAATACTGTTACAAAAATACTAAACTGATATATTAAGTGATAAATCAGTTTAATACAGCATCATTACCTAATGGCTCGCTTTTAATAAAAAATACTGCATGAAAAATGTTTGTGCTTTTGGTTTATACCGCTTGTTTTATCCCCTTCTTTACATACAAAAAAAATCAGACAAAAGTATCTAAACCCAGCATTTTTGCAAACAGTGAATACTGATACCCAGCGCGGTTCCTAAAACAGGGCAGGTAGACCCTTCCCTAAAGACAAATGCTTTAAGCAGCAGACATCACTGTTGTTTCTCCAGATAACCCTGTACCAAACCTTGAACCCGGGACAGGATGATCTCGTTGGAGCTGCTGCACTGCTCGGGGCCATACGGGGGGTCAATCATTAACACCCCTGCCACACACAGTGTCCTGCCCAACTCCCCTTGCTCTGTCACAGGGATGTGGTTTGTTTCCAGCCACGTCTTCAAGTCATTCTTCCTCTTCTCCAGTTCCTCTGGGCTGTAGGCTTTGCTTTCTTTGGGCGCGAATATGCGAGAAAGGCGTTGCTTCATTTCACTGTCCCCTTCTTTCAGTATTTCGACCTCTTGGACAGCATGGCCCATGACAACCGAAATGGACACCTTTTCATTCTCCAGGAATGCTGCAAGGACAATGCTGTCAAGGAAAGAAGGATGTGTAAGTCTCTGTTCTTAACTGAAGACTGAGAAACGCAGGCCAAGATTCTTGGAAATCATGCTCATTGGCATCAGCCTATCCCAGGTACTTAGGCAATAGACAGCACCCAGCATTTTTCTTTGAAAAGAATGCTGCTGTACCCTTAAAATACTAAAAATGTGGGCTTTGCAAGCAATTGGTGGTCTTGAATTTGAAACTACTCTAGACACTATCAAGCAGAACATTAAAGAAGCGAAGTGTACATTAAAACCAGGGCTCGGAATCTAAATAATTTTGTGCAGCTTTCCCAACCTTGCTGAAGAACCTGAAGTCTTCAGAAACAATGATACCTTCAATACATTTAGCATTTTCAATACTAAAGGCAATGGTGACAGCTAACACCACTAGAACCTTTTAATGAAAACTTATTAATATTTATTGATCATTACTAACAAAATATTTTTTTAAATTACTGTTGCTAGTTTCTTAAATGAAAATAATAGTTTGAGTGTTACAAAGGGACACATTACAGCAGGTTCAGGTTCATGTTGTAGAAGCTTTGTCTTTTCCTAAGGGTACTTGCACCCCAGAAGTCCTTAAATGCAGGTAGGAAGGCAGCTTGTTATATTTCTAGGATCAATTCCTCATATAACAAACAACTGTCTTCCTCTTCTGGGAACCAAAACTGCAGAATTTGATGCCAGCACTTCACTAATCTATTGTTACCACCCTTAGTGGAAGTAATGACTTTTTGGGCTGTGTCCAGTGAAATCTTGATTTCACCAGAATCACTCACTGCTGCATGCACCTTTCCTACCAAAATGGTAAGAAACTCCAAGAGAAGACTATCAGAGCTACTCCAGAACTGAAGCAACAACCAATTCTTCTGATACACATCAGAAGCTGAATGCTTTCGTTTCTAGCCTTCATCCTGTCTGGGACAAGCTCAAAACTAAAAAGGTATGAAGGAGCTCTGGCAGCAAAGAGACAAATTTCTGCCGATTGCCTGGTGCATTCTGCCTCTCAAACCCTGTTTTCAAGTTACTCACTTGAGATACTAGAGACCTGTGGTACCGCTTTCTGTCCAATGCCCCTGCTAATTTTCCTTGCTTCCTCTCCAAAGAAGCCACTACAGCTCCATGGGTGTCTGGCTAGAGGGAAAAGCAGGGCACTGAATTCTGGACAGAGGATAAGGATTTCAACACCTAAAGCATTAAAAATATTCCTGCATTCCTGCTCTCTTTGTAAAGTAGGGCTTGGTATATTATTAAAAGCAGTCCTAAAGATGTGGATTGTTGAGAAATAATAGCTGTTTAGTTTCATTTGTAAGTTTTAAATAAGAGAAAGTCAGAGTTACAATATTGTGTGTTTTAGTATGCTGTTCCCTTAGCTTTACCTGCTTAACATGAGCAGATGGATTTGCTGAAGCCTTAGGCTGCAAGCTGTGAACTTTCAACTTGCAGATATGCATTTGGCTGGTGTAGAGTTAATTTTCTTAGCAATATTCCTAGAAGCCAGTACAGTGCTGAGTTTTGAATTTAGCATGAGAATAATGTCGATAGCACGCTGATGGTTTGGTTGTTGCTAAGCAGAGCTTACTCTAAATCAAGGACTTTTTAGTTTCCCATGCTCAGTCAGTGAGTAGGTGCACAGGAAGTACAAACCAGACGATAAGAAGGCTGCAGCCATCAGCAGAAGCTGCAACTCGACAAGAACAGTTAATGGCCTGTCTGCAGGGACACAGAGAAAGAATCCAATAAGGTGTTTGAAGACCCCAGACCAGAAATCACCACTGGACCAAGAAGCACATGCAAAGTGCATGAGGAGCATGTGAGCAATGGGCACATGAGCTGTAAGGGTATAAAAGCCCAAGGACTTCTTTGTTCTGAGTCCCTCTCCAGAGGTGCCCAGCTCATGCTGACCTCCTGCTGTACCACTGTATTACATGATTTATTTTTATAAACTACAATGTTGCTTTCTCTTAGGCCTTGCCAATTAAATAAACCCAGATACACAGCCCCAGTGTGCAGTTTTTGCTCCAAATGAGTTTGCTTCAGTTTTGGGATCTTTTCTTCTCCAAAAAACCACCTTGTTTTCTATTAGTTTTACAGAAATAAAAGCTTTGGTACTCACCTGGCAGAAACCGGATCGACTGTTAAAACCCATCCTTCATATTCGTGTTTCTCAATTGCAACAACCTTCACCAATTTGTTCACATATGTTTCCCAGTCTAGAGGGCTCTTCTTCTGCCAGTCATTCATATTTCCTACATCCAGAACCTAGAAAACAACCAGAGCAATTAGCAGACGCAGTGAATCCTTTTGCTTTGCTTTTCACATCAGAACTGAGTTTGCCTCCAGGATAAAGATTCATCTTAAGTAAAATTTACCATTTTTTAAAAGCAGACGTTCCCACAAGTGTTTTGCACACAGCTGCAGTTCTGTAATTTCCCACACAATTCACCTGTTTTTAAAGGCACACCAGCAAAGCCTCAAAAATCACTGTTCTGGTAACTCAACGCTTTAAACATTCCATTTATTGCTCTTGCCCTCTTACAAAACCATCGGGATCGCCGTCCCTTGAAGGTAAAATTTTACCGCCTTTGCTTTGTGTACTGGCACAGCACTTGGGTCCAAGCCCTTCCGCTGCCTGTGGACAAGCGTTATCCCCCC